AATGTAGACCCCTGACTAATAACCCCCTGCCCTTCATGGGGGTTCTAGTACGGATCCTAATAATATCAAGGCCCTACAAAGGAGGGGGTTTCTTAATTAGGGGTCTACATTGGGTACTGCCCCCCTTCAGTAACAGTTGGATAATATTTATAATATGGTTATATATAGCCCTTAATAGGACCTTACTGGGTGGGGGCAGTACCCAAGGTCTACATGAATGGGAAGCTTTCTGGACCCAAGTTGCCAGGAACTGTATCCCTCCAAGCCCTACAACCTGAGGAGTAAAGATCTTCAAACAAGTGGTCAGGAAACAGTATTGGTTATGAGGACCCCCGCCCCTGTAATAGTGATATAATAGGACTATAAGAGGACCCTAATATAATCTCTATTATCCCTTATAGTCACTATTACTGGGTGGGGGGTCCACCTAAAGTATTGGTAGTTAGGATTTGGGGTCTAGGGTTTAGGGTTTAGGGGTTCTTCCGGCTTCTTTGTCAATGTCTTTATATTTTCTAAGTGCCCGTACCCCATTCATGTGCCTCCGTCGGAGATCAGATCTTTGCCTCTTGGCCTCAGAGCAGTTGTCATTGGAAGACTTGGATCCCTTTATAACCTCTATAGACCCCCAGTTTCCATCTGATTTTCCAGGCTCTGTAGAGGAAGGTTTGCTTTTGCACCAGGTATAGGGGCTGCTGCTATGCGGTTTTGGGTTTGGGGTTTATAGGGCTTGCTAACTCTGATGCCTCCAACTTACCACCCCTTCCCACTACCAACTTTGGCGGTTTTAGGGTTAAGGGTTAAAGGTTAAAGGTTTAGGGTGTAGCACACAGACCCTGATGTCTTACCCCTCAACCCTAAGCCGCGACGCAAAGTCTGAAGTCTCTGCCTTTTTTCCCCCTTAACATGATAATCCTCAATGCGCGAATTCTACACCTCACGCATTCGCAGGTTCGCTAGCCCTTCGGGGTCCTTCAACTCTCGAAATTGTTTTCTTCCCTTTCTCTGGTAGCCGCTACATCCTGATACTGTAGCAGTGCCTTACTTTTGGTGGTCCGAATAACAGTGACAATGAAGAAGCCATGGCAGACCAAGGCAGGGAGCTGTATTGGAGGACTCTGTCATCAACCCTGAATGCCAACATATGGTGGTCATGGGTTCTACGAAGGGTATTTTGAAACCCCCCACCCCCACCCCACCCCAAAACCCACGAGGGTCAGGGGTTTGGGCCCTAGTGCCCTGGTATAGTAGCATGATTCTGAAGCACTTAAAATATCTCCGAGAAAAGCTTGGCGTAGGAGGCACGGACGACAGCTCCCGCGAGCTTACTGCAGCTGAATGCTTGGATCCAAGCACCTGGACTTGGGAGGCTTTGGACTTGGGACTTGCCTCCGGATATGAAGTTTATAGAGGGTTCATGTTATGGGTATATAGGAGCCATGCTAGAATGGCCAATGGGGGTGATACAGGGTTATATATATATACACACAGGAATAATCTCTTGGTTTACAGGGTGTTTATTGAGGGCTGCTTATAGGGATAAATAGGGTTTGGGTTGTACATAATTTTTTGTTAGTGGCAAATGAAGGAATCGCAACTGTAGACCATTACCATGTTAGAGATTATGCGGGTACTGCTATCAGGATTTTTCATTGCTTGCTAGCCAGAAGTCAGTGGATGAGTCCGAGGCGTGGGGGTTGTAGATTACAGGGGTTATAATATAGGGATATACTGGAAGTATGTAGGGATCATTTTAAGGCGCAATTTTGGCTCACATACTCATAGGCGTCAAGTTTAGGGTTTGGGTTTACAGTTTGGCGTTTTAGGGTTATATGCTAACAGTGGTGCGGGGTTTCATGTAAGTATACATACGGGAATTACTGAGATAGGGGTGGAGCTTGAAGTGCTGGGGCACATTTTGCCTGACGGTCAGGGATCCGGTAACGCTGCCCTGGACACGAGCAGACCATGTAGCTGAGGCTTAAAAGTGACTTCGAGGTCGCGCAAATCAATTTGGCTCGGGCATTGGAAAAAATTGGGTTTTCAAGCCGAAGCTGTGTAGCAATCTCAAGGAAGATGAAATATGGACATGATCCCTACATACCCTGTGCGAGCTGTTGCAGGTAAAATGGTAACTCTGGCTATGCAACTTTGCGCAGGTCTTGCCGCCGCTTCCCACCGCTCGCTGTGGTCGCTCGGCTGGAGCAAGCTCTCTTGGGAAGAGTTTCCCCTAGGCTGGTTTAGGCTTGAGGGTCAAGGCTGAACTATTACCTACAGTTAGCCTGCAACTTTATAGATGTTGCCTGCACTCGGAAAGTTGTTGGCTATTTGGAGCATTAGGTCACTAGGTTTTAGGAGCCTCAAAAATTCGCGCGGCGCTGTAGGCTGCGCCGCTGCAGCACTGGGTGGCAACCTCTATGTGGTCGGCGGCCGCAGAGATGGAGACAAGCTTGCTGCTGTCGAGCGTTGCTGGCTTGCATGGAATGTGTGGGCTGGGGTCCAATAAAATTTGGGGTCCCTTTTTTAGAGGGTTCTCATTTGCAGGATCCCAGCATTTGGGAGCTGGGGGCCCCCATTATTTTTAGAAACTACCCATGTTGAGGATGTTGAACTTCTATTATCAGAAATCGCACGTGTAAATCCTCATGGTTGGACTTGTGATTTCAAGTCTGGACTATGTAAATCCAAGATTTCTACGGAAAACAGGGGGCAGCCGGCCGTACCAACCGATAGACCCCCCTAAAACCCCAAACCTTTCAACCCTGATCCCTAGCCGGCCTAGATCCCCAATTCCCCCCAATCCCCCATTCTTACACGGGCAACTATAGGTTTTTAGGCCTAATGTCCATTAAGCTTCACACTCCCCCATTCTTACACCTCATGTCAGCCCTCGGAGGCTTTGACCTCCGCCTTTGCCGCTGGGATTCTGTCCTGTCGCTGCCGGGGCCCAGGGACGCTTGCGCCGCTGCAGCACTGGGGCCGCGGCTCTATGTCTTTGGGGGCCGAGGCTGACATGGGTGTATGTGGGGGGGTCTGAGGGTTTTAGAGGCATAGGGGCTTATGAAAATTAAGCCAAAATAGTCTGGAAGTCCACTCTTTTCTCATTAGCTGAGTGGACATTCGTCCGCCATTCCTGTCTGAAAACGCGGTATCTGAACTACTTAGTAGTTGTACCTTAATTAACCCCTGGGCTAGGTCTTTGAGGCATGCATCACGCATCCCAGTACCTGTCCCACGCCCCTATCCTCCCGAGTTCAGGGTTTTTTTTTTTAATCCGTGCATGCTTTTGTACGGCATGTCCCGCGGGGTAAAGCTGGGGACATTCAGCAGACAAAGGAAGCGCTGTAAGCTTCTGCGATATCTGGGTATACATGGGTTTAGGGTTTAGGGCTTAGCTACCATAGCCAAAAGGGATAACCTTCTGGCGGCCAGCAAGCTTAGCAGCTAGGCTTGCGGGGTGCAAAATCATTCTGGTTAAGCGGCTGCAAGCATCATTCAGGTTAATCAATCGGGGGGTTCCCAAAATTAGGTGGACCATTTTGGGGGGTCCCCATAATAGGGCTTGTAGTATTTTGGGGTTTATGTTAGGGTCCCCCTTTTTTGGGGAAAGTACCAAGTGGTTTGAGTGCAACTGTATAGGATGCAGAAGCGCGATGCTCGTGATGAGCTGTAACTGTAGCATGCCCGTAGAACCCGCGAAAGGGAAGACGGCATCCCAACCTGGAGTCAGATTGATGCACCTATTTCATAATAATATTCATAATTATTGTGATACTACAAATACTAGTAATACAAATTATAATAGCAATAATCCTTGTATAATGATAATAATTTGCAATAATAGTTGTAATAGTAATCATATTCACAAGAGTAATAATAGTGTCCAGGTGTCGGAGTTGCTGGGAACCAGACGCTTGCTAGCGCAGAGCCTCTTCTCAAGCTTAGTCGCCGAGTTTGAATGTAGGGTTTACTCTAGGCCTCCTAGGACTATTTGGGGCCTTCTGGGGGAAGGTTTGGGCTTTGGGGGGTAAGGTTTAAGATCCTCTTCCGAGGGTCCAAGAGTTTTAGGGTTTAGGGGAAAGCATTTTGCTTTCCACACTTTTTGTTGAGGTGCATTCTTCCCTGTGCAGGGGACATGTGCTCAACAGCCCATTAGGTTTCTTTGGGAGTCCGTATAAGAAGGAATGTCGAAATATAGAATATGCATCATTTGGAGCCCCCTAGCCGTGGAAACTCCCCCCGATTTGGGTCATTTTGGGTCCACATTCAGGTGGTCGGGAATTTGCTTATGGATTCAGAGGCGCGGGCCTCGGATCAAAGTGGGGGTTTCCAGAATCAAGGTGTCCATTTTGGGATTTCCCATGCTATTTTTGTCGCCGCCCGTATTTATGTAAGCCACCAAAAGTGAGTCCACTATACCAAACCTCCTCCCAATCTCCCGAGGAGAGCTTTGATCCATCAACGAACCAGTGGACCACTCTACCATCGCATCTTTGCTGCAATTTCGGGGTGTACAAGGCAAGGCTCCAAATAAGGAGCTGTGGATTCAGGTTTTAGAGGATTACGGCTTGACAGAGGCTGGGTCTAAGCCTTCGAGATTGAAGGATGTAGGGTCCAAGGGTTCTGTGGCTTCGCTCGTAGGGGTACACTAGAGGTGGCGCGAGAACTGAAATGAGTTGACGTTCAGGCTTTTGATGTATGTGTACACACACACATATATATATATATATACATATGCACATAAGTGTAGGCAGTTCATTCATTTCGTGCTTGTGTTTTGCTATCTTCTTTGAGTGGAGGGACTTTAGCAGCGGCGTCCTTTCTTGCACTGGCTATGAGTCGGCATGGTAGGATCTCTGTACATACCAGAAGAAACACGTTCTAGCTTGTGACAAGGTTGTTTCTGGTTGGTGCAAGCAGTGCGCCGGGGGAGGGGATGATCCATAAATGCTGGAAGTTGCAGGGATCAAAGGTTTCAAGGAGAGGCCGAAAAGTCAGACCCCACGGTTTGGAGAGCCTTTATGAAGCAGACTAGTATATTATATATATATATGTAGATAGGGGTCATATACGGATTATTAATTGATATCATTTGGGGTCCGACTTGGGTCCCACCTTGCAGCCTTGAAAGCAGGCCAGAGGGTGACCTGCTTACTTGTGCTTTTCTGCGAAGTGTTGTGCTTATTGGGGGGGGTTCCCAAAATTAGGGGTGCCCTTTTGCGGGTCCCCATAATAAGGATTATAGTCTATTGGGGTATATATGCGGGGACAATATTGGGAAACTATCACTTGCTGCAGCAAAGGGCCTTCCAAAACAATCTTGGTCCTTCGCGGTTTCCAAGACCCTAAATGATGCCTGATTTGCTTAAGCTTCCTGAGCCCTAGCCATAAACCCTAGACTGGCCCAATTGAAATCATGACTCTAAACCGTTAATCCTATCAACCTTACGAACCCTGTAATCCTTATTCACCCTATAACCCCTACGAGCAACATAACCCCTAGATGTGCAGCCGATACACCCCACATACCCAAACTCTAGGACTCTAGGTGGGCTAAGCCTCCTGCCAGCCAGGATGCCACATGCTACTTGCGGCTGCGCAGCCGCGGCAGCCGACCGCTAATGAATTCTCGCTTTGTGGAAAAGTCCGAGTCAGCTCAAACTATCAGGGGTTAGGGTCTAAGTTTTCTGTTGGGATTAGGATTTAGGGTATGCATTGCCCCAAGCTAATTAACGTCCAACCCACCAACAGGCCCCTTTAATGTCTGCAGCCCTTCAAGCAGGGGATTATGTGGGCTTGTTTGTTCTGGGTGGGAAGGGTCTTTACTGTGATGGAATCCAAGAAGGGTGCCATCCATAGATTTCAACTCTACTCCCGCATCCGCATGCCCGTAGTACGCGAATTCATAATACCCTAAGCCCTAAACTCTAACTCGCATATAGAGGACAACAACCCTGATCTAGGTTTGGGTGAACAATGGACATTGCTGCCCGCTGCCGCCTGCTGACCGCGTCTTTTCATGCTCTAGGGAATATTTTTTAATTCCCAAAATATGGCAACCCCGATATAGATCCCAAAATACTATAACCCTTATTACAGGGACCCCAGAAGTGTACCCCTAATTTTGGGAAATCCTGAACCCCATACATCCACATAAATCATTATACATCCTGGTAAATCCCTATAAAACCCTTTAAAACACTATAGAACCTTGTAAATTCTTATTTCACCGTTTAAAAGGGTACCCCTAATTTTGAGAAACCTCCCCATTTCACGAGCCTTATGCAAAGGAAGGCGAGGCCTTTGTTAGATTTTGGGAACCTCGCAGAGCCCCGAAGGATTTAGTATTTAGGGTTAAGGGCTTAGGATTTCGAGTTTAGGCTTTAGGGTTTACGGGTTAGGATTTAAGGGGAGAGTCGAGTTCCGAAATGGAGGCTACCTAAGCTCTGGTCATATTTACATACGCCTATTCCAGTATTCTTCCCCAAGTCCCCGAGACAAACTGAAGTCAAGATAAGTTTGCAGCTAGTTGAGCTGATTGGGGTGGTAAGGGAAGAAGTGATATACCTAGGGTACTGCCCCCACTCTGTAACAGCTGAAAATATTTATAATATAGTAATGTAGACTGCTACAGGGTGGGGACCGGACCCAAGATAAGCCACTCCACCACCTGAAGCCTCCGCCGTGTGGCTATGTGAAGCTTACGAGCATCTGAGGCGCTAGTGGACTCCGCCACCGCTTGCGAAGCAGGGGCCTATGCTGAGGGGAGGGCTTTAAGGATTGTGTTTTAGGCTAGGTAGGGCCTCAAGCCAATGATGGGGAATCAAAGGGGGTCCCCGTGAAGGGGTTATGGGATTATATGGGGATATCTAGGGCTAGGGTACGGAGCAATGGGAATCAATTTTCAAAATGAAACGAACATGGGGGTCATTACTATATGGTAGGGAAAGACCCAAATTACCATCAGCCACAATTGTCCAGTCCCTGAAAGTTAGCCTTATTGATAGTCGCTAGTGTTTGTAACATGCCTACCTAGGGGGCTGCTTTCAGTAGGGTTCAGTCTAGGTTTCGGGGCCGGGCGCGGGGTGGGGGGTGTGGGTGTGGAGATTTGTTGGATTTAGAGTGCCTGCTAGACACCCTAAACCCTAAACTATCTTGTGGAGCTTACATAGGGCAACTGAACGCCTGCCTGGGTTTAAACAGCCGCAGTTTAGGGTTTAGGGTTCGGTGTTTCGGGTTTAGAGCTTCCCAAAAAGGACTCTGGTTCCAAACGAGCCCTACGCCCCAATTCCTGAACACTACATCCGTCCATTTGGAAACTTTTTTTTAAATAGTTGGGGCCTGGATTTAGGGTTGAGGAAATTTATGGCCTGTGATTCAGCGTTTTAGAGAACAGTCAGGTGCATTGTCAGGCTCAAGAAGATCTGAGTGACTTTGAAACTTTAGAAACTTGTGCTTGGAAATGGTGTTCTCAAGAAGGGGGGGCCCTAAAGGTCCCTAGTGTACGGGGAACCATGAGGGAATTGCAGGGCTTTCCCTAATTTTGGTGAGGCCACGGTTTAAGATGACTTTCCAGGTCCCGGGCTCTTCAGTCAGGTTTTTTTTGATCAGGATGGTGCTCCTAGTTGAACACTTCAACCCTGTCCTCCTCAGCACCCTTACATTATATGACTACAACAATATGGTACCCCCAAAACCTTGTCCCACCTCTTCGAAACCACAGTAGTTTACAAAGTTCCTTTGTTACATGCAAGTTCCATGTTGGTTGGAAAGAGGGTAGGTTCCTGGGGTATCTTAGATCACTCTCCTTCACAGTAACTATTAATACCATAGTAGGTAATAGAAGTTAGAATAGCCCATGAACGAAAGCCCCTTCAAGGACATTTACTGCACGGGGGAAATGACCCTAAACCTTGAATCCTAAACCCTCAAGCATCTGCGTAAGGGTCCCTATAATAATCGGGTCTAGGGTTTTTGGGTTGGGGGACTGGATGCTTTCAATAAAGCCTATATCATCCCCATATACCCCTACAATGGTACCTGCATTCACTCCTTCACTCCCCCTTGAGCACCAGTAGGTGAAGTGACGGTTTAGGGTTCGGCATTAGGTAGGGCTTAGAGTAGAAAACTCAATAGCCTCGACTCCTTTTACCTTAGCAACCCTGACAGGCTCGATCAATTACCAAAAGTATCCCCTTTTAGAAGTTATGAATCTTGCAGGCATAGTGTCAAGTGCACCAAAGACCTGTTCCGCAAATTGAGGTAGGCCCCCTACATTACGGTCAGCTACTGCAAAGTCAGGTACAACCCTGGGAACAGCTGATTGTTTACAGGCATCGTATAGAATGCTGTAGACAGGAAAGTCTCGACTCCCAAGTTTGTTCAGAACCTTAACGCACCAACCGCAGTCCGTGTACCTAAGCCCAGCAGCTTTCTGCAACGTGAATTATTTTGCCATGTAAGGAAACTGGATGGTTTTTCATATTGTGGCAAGTATTTGTGAGTCACTTGGGCCAGCTTGGCTTGACTCTTAGGGCCCCAAGGCAGGAAGTTTGGTTTGACTCAAGACCCCTTTGTAAAGAAAGGTGTCCGAAATCCGCCGGGGTTGAGCAAGAAAGAGACATGGGGTTTCCCAAAATTAGGGTACTCCTTTGGGGATCCTCATAATAAGGTCAGTAGTATTTTGAGATCTACATTGGGGTCCCCCCTATTTAGAGAAACTGCCACATTGCTTCTTGTAAGGATCCAGCAGCAACAGTGGATCGTCTTGCAGAGGTATTGGGTTGGGAATAAGGGTGCTCGTGGGTCTGGGGTGTAGCTTGAGTACTGCCCCCACGCATTAACAGCTGGATAGTATCCGTAATTCAGTTGTGTATAGCCCTTCAGATGACTCCTATTATAGACGGTCAGTGGGTGGGGGCAGGAGCCAAGGTATAGCTTGGGCAGGACCCGAGGAATAGCTTGATTGCGGTGCAGAGTGTGGGATCTTCAGAGATTTTCAGGGTTGGAGGAGTGGGCTGCTCAGGGCCCATAGCTCATTTGAGTAGCATTTTATTTGGGGATACTATGGTACCCAATATAGAGTAATATTATATGGTAACAAAATAAAGAGCAAGATTAGATCCTCCTTTTGGGTATAGCATTTTATTTAAGGCATAGTATTTCTAGGTTCAACCACCAAAAAAGCACTACTCATGTGAGATGACCCACTGCGCGGGATTTGGTGATCACAACATCAGCTTGCGTAGACACTGAGTGTAGATAATAGTATCCACTTCGCGTAGTACCTTGGAACCGTGGGAGCTCCAAGAATTAAGCTTGCTATTCCCACCTCAGACTTGGATGGTTCTCAAAACTGGCATCCCCCTATGAACCCCCCAATGTAGGAACTTGCTCGGACCCTCAAAGTGGGACCCAGAATCTGGAGAGAACCCCCCTTTCCCCGCCTGAGTGTGACATCCATCGGGTTTAAACCTTTGCGCTGCAAACGCTTTTCGTGCTGCAGGATTGGCAACCTGGAGTTAGCACTTTTGTTTTGTGACTACGTGAGAACTCGCCGTTCCCGTGAACGCAGGCTTCTCTAAAACCACGTGTTCCCTGCAGACGACACTTCTTAATTAGCAATTTCTTTAGGAATTTGGGCCGGAGAACAACTATGAAAGACCAACAACCCCAAGACATCCAAATGAGGGAGCTTCATGATGGTAGATCCCGGGGTCGGACCTCACCCAGCAGTAGTGGTGCAAATAAGCAGGGACCTTAATAGATTATCATTATTCATTATTCTTTGTGGTGACTGCTAATGCGTGGGCGGGGACCCAACCCTAGCACAACCCTTTATACTTTATAGGAAGCCTAAAAGCTTGGGTTGGGAAAGGCTGCAGGTAAGGGTTTTGGGTGCCGCAGCGGCAGGAGGTTGTCAGACCCAGCTGTAGCCCGAGCGCGGAACACGCTACCTGTATTCAAAACCATTGGAAAAGCGGGTTCCATGCCAAGTTACTACAGGATTCCTTGTTTTGGAGGTTATAGGGTTTATAGGGTTCACGGAATTTCGATTGGTTCTTCTGAAAAACTTATAGGAACCTTTGCAGAACATCATGTTGAACCACTGCCGTGTAACCCTGCGAAGGCCGGCGCCACGGGAGTCGTTTTCCTGCACTACGAAGACGGCCGTGCACTCAGGCAAACGGAGGTTCTGGGTTTTCCTTGAAGAGGGTTTGAACCGAAAGACTGCCTGAAGCGCAAAAGTCCAGAATAGGTGAATAGGTTGTAAGGTTGAGGGTTAAAGGAAATATTCCTCACCTTGTCGTGATGGTATCATGTTTGCACTTGCTCGGCTAGAGGGGTGTTCAGGATTTCGGTTGCCAAGTTACAAATGCGTATTAGGAATAAGAGTAATAGTAGTAGCATAGTAATATGTACAGTAGTAGCAATGGTAATAGTAATAGCAATAGAGGTACTCATATTTTAATAGTAGTAATTAGCAATAATCGTGATGTTGAAGCTCACAGCTCTGAGTACGGCGCTTGGAAGTTTGGGGGCCTTCTAACCTAACCCCCCAACAATGGAGAATAACATGG